GGGGGGGGGGGGGTGGGGGGGGGGGGGGGGGATAATAAAGGCCTAGTTTGATGTAGGTTCTATTTCTCTGAATGCTTAATGGTTCTAATTTATCATACACAATTCAGTGATCCTTTGTATTAATATTTGTTGCTCCATTGACAGATTCATCCCGAGGTTGAAAGGGCGAGGAAGAAGCCTTTGTTGGATTATGATTTATATTATTGCGCGTTTGCCAATACTCGGGCAAATGGGGCCTTTGAGTATGGTTAGGATGATGCTCCACCACAACATAGGTTTGGCAGCCCCATTGAGCGAGGAACAACCAGTTTCAATGACGGTGACGATGTTCCTCCTACAGATAGGAGACATGGCATGCACAGAGAAAGCCGCGAACAACATACACACTCACCATCGCGAGTGGTACATAGACGGTCAAGTCGTAGCTCTCGTAGAGCGTCACCTAGCTATATAGAGCGTGCCGTGGATCGCCTCGTTAATTCGATAGAAACAAGCAGTCGGTCTCGAGATATAAATGCATCTACAAACATGTCGGTTCAAATTGAAAACGTTCAGGATCAATGCATGAATTTATTGGCAACATTGGACATCTCCCAAGAACAGTATCTCTTCATGTTCAACTTTATGACTATAGAGCCTAGATGGCAGCGTCCATTCCTTCATATGTCAAAACATCATCGGCTTGTGTGGATTTAGCAGACTATGGAGCAGTGTACAACCCAACAAGTTGCTCCTCCGCCAACACAACAAATGCCTTCGGCCTCGTACTTTCAGCCGAACATGCAAACAAACCCTACACCTGGCAACACGTTCGGCTAGCCCACTTCCCCATTTCAACCATTCATGCCACCTTTCTTGAGACCCAACTATACAATGCCACGTGGAGGGGATGGTTCTTCACAGCTGTGATGATGTTATTTGATTCGTTTTACTTGTTACAAACAGGCCCATAGAGACTTGTCAAAAATGTTATGTTTATGGTTCTAATTCCTTTATTGTTTTTCGTTATTAGTACTAATTGAGTAATTCTTATTAGGTTGCGGCACATTTAGTTGAGGATTTGTTACTTAATGCGAACTTATTTATGCAATTATTTATGCAAGAGTTGTTTTATATGTACTTTTTAACTTTATGCATATGATTTGCATTTTTATAACTTTATGCTTCATTATTCTGAAAATTTGACAGGGATGGACATAGGCAAGAATTCCAACCCGCTAGGTTCTAATGAATCAGACTATGACAGTGATGATAATTTTTTCATGAAGTTGTCGCTGCGGCGACTATGCTATGTATTGGATTTGTATACAGAGAACCTTCTCACCGAAGGCACACTTCTGGTTGGGGAGGCGCACTTAGAGTGCAGTATTATCTGAAACGTAGTCCAACAGTGATGTATGACAGAGTCCGTATGAGTAGTGATGCATTCTTGCGCCTAAGTTTTATCCTTGAGGAAAGGGGCTTATTGCAACCAACTGTCCACCTAAATGTTGATGAGCAATTATTCATATTCCTAACTATATTATGTCAGAATCAAACTAACAGGGAGGCACAGGACACTTGGCAGCGATCTAGATCAACGGTGTCTGAGTACTTCACCAAAGTTTTTGTGGCGGTATGCAAATTGAAGCAGGACTTCATTTTACATCCAGATTTTCAAACCGTTGACCCACACATAATTGCAAGTGGAAACAAATACTCGTCGTGGTTCGATGTATGTTCAGTAACATATATTAATTAGTGCTTTCTAATAATTATTACATTGTTTAATATAACCAACATAACTCTTGTAAACTATGAAGGATTGTGTTGAAGCATTTGACGGTACTCAAGTCCCATATGTTCCCCCTAGTGAAACTGCTGAACTTTATAGAAATAAGAAGGGGTTCTTTTCACTTAATGTGCTTGTCGTGTGCACTTTTGATATGAAATTTACGTACATGTTATCTGAATGGGAGGGTTCCGCACACGATGCGCGAGTACTGGCTGCCGCCTTAAAATCCGCAAACAAAAGATTTCCGACACCGCCACCAGGTCAGCCTACAATGATTTCTTATATGTACACTGACATTTCAAATGCTTCATCCGTACGCTTATTTGTTAATTAATATGCGTATAAGTGTAGGAAAATTTTACCTCGTCAACTCGGGGTACGCTAACAACGGATGCTTCATGACACCATATCGGGGGACAACATACCACTTGCAAGAGTATAGGGCTCGCCGTGAAAGATGATTCCACAGCGAACGTGAGCTTTTTAACTACACCCACTCCTCACTACGTAATGTCATTAAAAGAACATTTGGTGTGTGGAAGGCTAGATTTCGTATTTTGAGAACCATTAATCGTTACCCCATGACTAAACAAATTATGATTCTAGTAGCGTGTGCTATAATACATAATTTTATCCATATGTACCGTAATGGGGACAGGCTATTGGACCAATACTCACAAGATGGCGTTCCGGTTGCAGACATTGATTCACCGAATGTTAATGAGGACATTAACGACAATACTAACCATGAGGGTCAACCATTGGATTCTAATGCAGAAGTGGACATGAATGCTTTAAGGGATGCAAGGGCGCATACAATGTGGGCAGTGTACCGTCACCGTCGTACACGCTAATAGCCCTCGTTCATTGTTGTCTTTTTGAACTTAATTATGTATTTATTGTTGTCTTTTTGAACTTAATTAAAATGAAAAATGATCTTCTACTTGTTATTTTTATTATTTTTTATCTTTGTAATTACAAGTAATTTATTACAATAAAACAAAATAAAGTCAAAAAATAAAAAAATTGTAAAAGAATTGAATAAAATTGTGAAAGGAAAAAAAATGATATCCACTATTCACAACTCAAGTTTTATCACAAACAAACACAAACTTAAAAAAATTCTTAACTCAAACCATAACTCAAGTATACACAACTAAACACAAACTCAAATTACAACTTCAACTCAAGTTATAACTCAAACTCAACTAAAAAACTTAACTCAAGAATACTTGCAAAAGAATAAGCCCTAAGTGTTTTCATTTTGAACATCAATCTCCATAATTCAACCAATATTACCACCAAAATGGAATTCTAGGATAATGAAGTTGGATATTGAGTTTCTACATGATGTAGGCTACTCGGAAAAGGGAAAACGCGGCCTGACGTCATGGTCCAAAGTGATAACATGACATACAATCATCAAGTAGTATTTTTTTTTCCCACTTTGAGATTGACACGCTTGACTTAGATAATTGTAACAAATTGATAATCACAATGCTTTCCATTATTCAAAACATCATTAAAATAATTTTAAAAAAAAAAAAACTTGAAGGTTTCTAGGCACTAAATACAACAGTTACTCGAGCGCTTTCACATCGATAAGGTGACTTCTGAAACTCTCCCACCTCATTTTCTTTGTTGCATTGATGCAGTAGTGTATTATTGTAATATAAAGCACGCAGAAGAGTCACAAAGTCTCCGTGCTTTACAAAAATATACTAGATTTTACAAGGCCCATTCGTTTTTGCTAGTTCAAATCATAACTCAAATTGTTACAGTGTTTTTCCTCACAAAAATTCAAATTCAACTTTTTTTACTACAATGTTTTTTCTCATATAAATTCACTTTTTAACTCAAGTTCTCAACTCGAATGAGAGTGAAAAGAACGAGGCCCAAATTTGTGCTACTTATGAACGCTTTATGAGTAAAAAGTAAATACCTTAGATGCAGATGAAAAACCAAATGACTACCCTAATCAACATGCAATACCCTACACTCCTTATTCCTCCCCAAAAAGAGAAAATTAAATATCTCAAAAAGAAAAAAGAGAAAACTAAATAAATAAAAATAAAAAATAAGAGCCTCTTGAACAAAAAGAACGCCTCCATATGAATGTGAACACAATTCGGGAATTTACGGCTTAAAAAACGGAGCCAGAATTCATGTTTGTTAACTCTGCATCAGCAACCAAACACAGGAGAAAAAAAAAAAACACAATCTTCAAGGAAACAAATTGCAGTTACAACCATTTTTCGCATTTGTAAGACAAATTCCTTTGTCGATTCTCCCTAATATCAAACATAAAAACACAAACAGAAAAAAGGCACTTTTTTTTGGTTTAACAATAAGGAATATCTCTTAGCTTCAACGAGTTTAGGTTCAATTCCAGAGTTCACCGCTCCTAAATCGCAGCCAAAATCATCATTTACTTTCTATTTTCACATTAACCAAACAGAGGGCAAAAATACAAACCATCGTCTACAACTAGGGAAAAAAAACACGAAATCATTCACAGAAACCACATCGGATCAAACAACCAAAACAATCGGAAACAGAAAGACGAACCAGGCCGTGGCGCTCGCCGGCTTGGAAGGAGAGGCGCTGGTGGTTCATGGCCTGGGCGTAAAGCTGGGAGAGAGAGTTGGCCGCGCTGCAGAAGGTTGTGTACATGGTCCGATCGACCTCGTCGAGTCGCGTGGCGTCCGACTTTCGTTTCTTCGCCATTTTCCTGGGATCCAAACAGAAAATTGAACACCGGAGAGAAAGAGAGGGATTTGGATTTTTACCCTTTCTTTTTTTATTGAGGGTGTGGGTATGAATGAATTAGGGGAATTGTTGGTTATAAAGGAAGAAGGGAAAAGGAAGACGATGAGGTTTCTGTAAAAGAAGAGGAAAGTTGGTCCCTCGCTGGAGCCGTGGAGCAAAGGAAAAGGGTGTTGTATCGTAAGCTCGTTTAATTAGTTTATTTGAATTTTTAATTTAAATTAAGATGTGATTTTATATGATAATTTTTTATTATAGTAAAAAAATTAAATATGATTATTTTTTAAAAAATTTTACTGTAATAAAATTTAAATTTTAAACTCGAATCAATAAAATGAATATAGTTAAAATTTTTCCATCACGTGACTTTAATCGTGGACCTTGGTCCCACCTTCACAAATATTTTTATAATTAATAATAACTCTAGAACAAGTCGATTCTGCCACAAATGACGGTTCCGTTCGTGTTTGGTTTCATTTCGTGTCGTGTCGTGTTCGTGTTAGATTAGAGTGAAAAGACTTTAAATTAGCGTAAATGTACGACTCATTTTTTTATACTTCTCTCTTTTTTTTCATGTCACTGTCAGGGATTTAAGGTTGAGACATAGGCCCCGTTCACTTCACTGATTCGAGTTTAGAATTTGAGTTTTTACTACAGTAAAAAGTTTTCAGAAACAGTCACATCTAACTTTTTTGTTACAGTAAAAAGCTCTCACATAAAATCACATATCAACTCGAATTACAAACTCGAATCAGCGAAGTGAACAGGCCTACCTTTAATTGGCCTTTTCCTTCTCACCTCCTGTTGGTATCATACTGAGGACATCAACTTTGATCGACAGTTGATGGTTGTTGGCCGACAACCATCAGTATCCTATCACTACGTAGAGGTATCTCGTAATGACACTAAAAATAATGTGTTGGGGTAGCACTCGCGTAAGTCACGGTTCTTCATGTTGATTTCAGTGTGGCCGATATACTTAGACAGAAGACGATGACAGTAGCACCTCTAAAGAAGTAGTGGAGACGGATATGTCCACGGACCACAGTAAGAGAAACGATTCTAGAGCCCATTTTACCGTCATGACTCATGACTAAAACATCAAGAAAATGTAAGAGAATGAAAATATAATAACAAAGGAACCACATTAATGAAGTCTGGTGGGAATGAGCAACCAAATGACTAATGAAGAGAGACTCAAGGAGTGCGATAGTGCTATTTCTTGCGGGGTTGAATTAGGGCTGACAATTTAGGTAGTGACTCGACGACACGACTCGAAACACGCATGAAGTTAGAGGGTTTATATTTATTATGAATGGATTTGGATCATATCTGGTTGACACGATTAATAAATAAGTTAGGTTATGGTTGACCTTCTAAAACGAAGTGACATGAATTGACACGATTAACTATATGTGACATTTGCAATCTAATGATATGTGATATAACATGAAAGTTTATATGACATATTAAATACAAATAATGTGAATTTTAATATTTATAGGTAAAATTCATTTATTTTTCTTAAAGGAAAAGATAAATTGACTAATAAACATATTAAACTTGTCATGACCGTGTTAAATAAGTCATTATTATATTAGTTATTTATTCAATATATTAATTTAAACGGGTTGACACGATTAACACGATTAATAAATGAGTCGTGTTTAGGTTGACATTTTTGACACATTTAATAAACATATCGTATTTGAGTTGATATTTTCTGATACGATTAATAAACGGATTTACACTAACACGGCCCACTAACACGAATTGCCACACTTAAGTTGAATAGTGCTCGCCCTGTAGGAACTCAGGTCACTCTGAAGGCACATTTTAGGTGTATAGAAAAATGGTGGAATGAGACTGTCTTTATAACGATGGTTATGACGACGAAGTTTTGAAGCTTTTTGCCACTTTGAAAATGTACTTGAGTTGCGAACTTGGATAGTCTCCCAGAGCAGGATTCAAACTTCGTCGGAAAAAGTCTAGAACTTCAAGAATCCTTTAATGGTGACTAAAGGGAAATCTGGGCGAGTTTCCTAAGGATTTTTTAAAGTTGACGTACTTCTACGAAAACCTCAAGAACACTATGATTAAAACTCCAATTATGAAGAACACAAACTCCAATAACAATACGAAGTTCAAAGGGTGCAAACTTGGGAGAAAATGAGAAGAAAAATGACAATAGTTTTGAGAAGAAATTGTAAGAAAATATGATTGTCTGATGGTGTGTTGAAGTGCTGAAGAAGAAAGGTATTTATAGAGGAAGATCATGGCATTTTGGCGGTTGCTTCGAAGGTCGTAAAACTGCACATTGTAACATGCCCACGGCACTCCATACCCTCCGGAGCAAATGAAAATGCCTTCCCAAATTGATTAACAAACTTACCAATAATGGGATAACTTGAAAGCAAAATTCTGGAATTTAGGCTGATATCGGACCTTCCTCAGGTTTAGATACTTTAACGAGTGTTTGCCTAAATTTCATGCTATATGACTTTGCATGTCTGAGGTCTAGTTGCGCATCAGACATATATTGTAACATGCCCAGGTTTTTTTTTTTTTTTTTTTTTTTTTGGTCCTTTTTTCTAGTGGAAAAGGTTTTAGAGCTTGGGCTTTGGATTTTTGGGTTTCCAAAAAATAAAGGATTTTTAGGCCACCAAAAGGTAAAAGCAAGGCTTTTAGGTCAAATTATGCATCGCATATTTATTCACATTCTAATTAATTTAAAACACCCAAATGAGATTTAAAATTAAATCGAACTAAAAATAAAATTGAAATTGTTGAACTTACCTTGGTCAGTTTGATAGGACGGATAGAAAGGTGGAAGAATGGATAGAGTTGGAGGGACAAGAAGTGTAAGGAAGAGAAAGATTGAAATTTTTTTAAAGTTGTTTAGTATGATAAGAATTAATGATTATGACTTTCCATTCCTTTGTTTGGTATTAGCTGACAATAAAGAGAAAAGAATTTAATTTTATTGATAAAATTACCACACTAACCTTTTGTAAAATTTGTATTTGTAGTACATGCTCTCTCATCGTATTACACAAATTTTGTTGCATTGTTATATATATATATATATAGAATAATTTTTATTACTATATATTAAACATTGTTATCTATTTGTATTGCTCGGTAGATAATAATATTTAATATATATACAATATTTTAAGGGGTGTTTGTCTTTTTTATCTCTAAATATCCTCATTTGATTAATCATGGCTAACTAAATCACGACCCACGTAAATTTTCCAAACGTGACTTAAATCCACGGAGTGAGTTCAATCACGTAGTGGGACGGGATTTTTAGGTCGGAACCCTCGGATGTACCTCGTACAGAATTGATCATCAACAGTAGGTATACTACCATATACTTTACAATCACCCTTCATAAACTGAAAGTACTTTAGCCTAATAGTTTTTTTATTGCATCACTAGATAGGATTCAAATGAATATGTGACTTGTGGTCTCGTGTGTTGAAAGATGTATTTGGTGTTGGATTTAGAATATTGTCATAATAGGGGGCAACTAAATAAATCAAATATCAATATGTCCTTGCATGCAATTTAATATATGAAGCTTCTAGATGTGCAATTCTTATGCTAAATTTATTGTTTTGAAGTTTTATGTTCCGCACGTAAGTTTTATCTCTAACAACTATTTTTAAAGGGTTGGAATGCAAATGATTTTCTTAAGTAAAAATGTTTTCTCTTAAGTAGTTCTACTATATAAGTTAGGAAGTCTCTTCCACAAGAAATTATGATCTACATATAAAAATACTTCCATTTACTATTTTTCATGCTTAGATTTCTTAAATTAGTGTTTTAATTTAAATGTTAATGGGTAAAATCAACACAAAGTTCCATAAATTATTCTATTAAGTATTTATGATTTACGTTTATTTTATGAAAACCAAACAACGACTTTTTGGTCGTTACAGATAAAAATCTCAATATCGATTGATCGAATGTTTATATGAATTGTAGAGAACTCGTTAAAAAGTCATGTGTGTACTCAATTTTTGATTATTTTTAGATTTATATTTGTAGAATCCAGTATACACCTTTTTTAAGTGTTTTATTCAACCTCGCAAGTAGAAGTGATTGTTTATGGGTATCACACTTTCTATAGTAGCCTAATAGGAGACTGGGTGGGTGTGGAGTGATGTCTATATTTTCTTTTCCTAATATGGAAAAAAGACGATTCACAAATTTTGAAATTTAATAACACTTTTCTTTTTTTCTTTTTTTAAATTTAATATTATTTTTCACATATGTGTTAAAGCATTATTATGATGATTTTTTTTAATGGAATGTAGTCAAGTATTATTGAAAACGGATAGTACGAAAACTGAAGGTCAGCAACTTCCCCAAAAATAAATAAATAAATTTTAGGGCCGTTTAGTATTATTTTTAGAGGCAGTTTTTAATTTTTTATTAAGAAACTATAGTAAATTCGGATATTCAGTAAATACTGCTTTTATTCAGCAACTTCTAAAAATTATGAAGGTGGCCACTGCACGCCCAGGAGAGGCTTAAACGCCCCTCAACTTTATTTTTTATTTGCAATTTTATATGTTCGCCAAATATTTAGATAGCCCCCCTAAAAGTTAAAAACTTTCTTTTGTTTCCCTAAATATTGAAAAGTACTTATTGCTGTATAATATAAATGTTGTAAAAGGTTCTTATGAAATTTTGTGTCGCACCCCACTATATAACAAAATTATAATTATGCGCCGATTGAATAATTATAACTATACTATATCTCTATTTGAAATAAAAAGTTATTGTTATTTTTTTCATGGTAGCCTAAAAAAAAAATATTTTTTTGGCTCCACCACTAATTGGCCTTCTTTGGCTAAAATTTCTGGCTTCGTCACTGTTAAAAACTGCTGTCAAACAGCTGAATTTGATAAGCAAGTCATGCGTGTTAAAAAAACGGCAACGTGTTGTGCAGCGGAAATTTAAAATTTTTATTGAATACTAAAGTCAACCTAAGACATGTTCATGATGCTACATAACATAAATACTAAAGATCTAAACATACCTGCAGAGATTATGAAAACAACCCGTCTGACAGAGCAAAGCGTTCAAAACAGCTGCCAAAGGAGTCTCAACTAACTA